ACTCTCGGAGCATTAGGCATCCATTCCATGGGAGTTTTTCTCCTCAAGCACGATACGACCATAAAAAATCCCATAGACGCTGGGGATGGGAGAGCTATTGACCAAACCTCAAACCTGAAGCCCGAAACCCGAGGTCTGGGTTCCGCAATACTGACCAGAGGATGAGTTAGCGAGCTGATATGAATAAGCTACCCGAGCATTAGTCACAGAGTCGAGTGCCTCATCTCTAGTCCCTCAGTATCAAGGGTAATAAGAAGAGAAAAAAGTACTGCTGGGGTGCTCCACATCCCTACAGTAGTCCTTGGAATCTGCGATTCTTTCATTGCAGCACTCACTTTCATCAACACAACACGTTGTTTAGCGCTCGCTTCTCGGGTACTTCGCTAGGTCGCACACTTTCCCTCCCATCGGGGATGATGATACGATCCCCAGTTGGGGAATTTCTCCGCCAAGAAGCCGTACCGTGTTTTTCTCTCATTTCCAGATAGACAGCAACATTAGTTAATATTGAGGGGTGTTGCACTGTGTGATACGACCAATACTGAGTGGTTAGTTCTGAGATGATTAACAAGCAACGCATAACCGTGCATAGCATTAATAATGACATACACTCGACCGATGATGCTCGACAACATTAACTGTCTGTGTTTCGGCAGCAACACAGTTGTTCTGTCAAACTCTTCTTCTTCAACGACATTTTGTTTTGCTGATCGATCAAGTCCAACGCTATTGTGCGATCGAAAATCATGCGGCATGATTCATCTGAGATACTATCTCAACGGCATGATTCATGCCGTTGAGATACCACTCTGAAGCATGGTCAGTACTCGATCATCGAAGTCTCCCATTCCTTCACGTGTGAGTTCCTTGGCGGAGAACGCCTCATAACCATCGATCCATCCCTTGACCTTCTCCACTTATTGTGCTACTTCATTATCTATGAAGGCTTTGCAGCACGCTGCCCGATCAGTTTCCAATCCGCAATTCCCCGTCGCACCGAATGGCATTCCGGGAATGCAACCTACCTCGTCAATCAAGCACAAAGTCCCGAGCACTTGCACTTGAGTTACCCCACCCGGACTGAAATGCTTACCTGGGCTATGATCAGGCGATACTCGACCACAGAAAAATTATACCCGAAATCTCTAGCAGGTTGATTGGATCACCCCCACCTATTTTGTCATGGCAGTCTGCGTGATCCGACCACCTCTATGATAGAAAGCCGTAATTAGAGCTTCTATTGGTCTTTTTCCCAATCTGTTATAGCATTCCTGGAGGGTATTTGGTCTTTAATAACAGGCCGTTACTTCTGCAAACACAGGCCCGATCGCAGCTTCCCACCCAAAACTCGTCAACTCAACTCGTCCCGCCCTGCCGACTTCATCTCAGATGAATCATCTGTGGCCATCGGACGGCCATCCTCATACAGCTGAGTATTGCACGTCAAGATACAGACATCAGAAACCACCGGGTGGCAAAGGTTGGGCAAATTGAGCCAGCACGCTCAGTGTCGCTCATCAGCAACTGGTGGATGATAAAGTTAAGTGTCACTGAACCTCACAAATCGGACCGGTAGCAACAACAGCAAACAAACGAGACACACGGGCTGGAGTATAGCTCAGAGTAAATAGCTTCGCGAGCGAGCGCATCACGGACCTGTGTTTGCACCACTCTACAATCCACCAGCTTCGTGTAGGGTAGCATCCAACGCGGTGGTCCCTCGAGGATCATTGGCAATATCTGACGTGTCAAACTCGTACCAAGCGAGCATTCCCGTATGAACTTTCCCTCGCTTCCACGGTTTCTGATATATACATATCATGGAATCGGAGGATGATCTCGAGTGGGATTTTCAGGTACTTACAAACCGATCTAACTTAGGTCCTAACTTCGGAACGGGACATACGGATGGGAAGCCAAATGAGGGGGGGCCGCACGCCTACGGGGTCCTAGTTTAGCACTGAGGAGCATCGGTGAGAGATATTCTGAGAGTGCCCACGAAGAGCTCCATACCAGAAATGAGACTTATCAGTCAACTTGGCTCATTTAGTGGATCCTCGTTCTTTGGAGCTAACTCCTGCGATGACTTTTCCTACCGAGGTACTTTCAGCGAGTTGAGATCTGTATGTTCCGTGCACGCATGCACAATCTAATCGCTAGGTTATAGTCCCTAGCGATCAGCATTCATCTACTCCAACTTCCCACGCAACACACCACCACGAAGCCTTGGATACTCGTCGCTAATTATGAATCTCACCATCATTTAAACTTCATTGAATGGATAAGCTGCCCATCTTGGTCTGTCCTTATTTCTTCACCTTCTTCGCTGCCGATCCCTTCATCGACACGCTGCTTCTCTTCCTGCCACCAGTACTCGCGCCATCTGAATACGACGACATCAACAACCTCTCCACATCTCGAGTGAGCTCTTGCTTGCAAACCTCCCTAAATTCGATAGAGAGGAAGCGGGTCTCCGACGGAAAGTCAAGTTTTAAAGAAGATTTGTCAGGCGCGCGACGAAATAACTGTAACGCAACGAGAGTTACTTTTTTTAGTTTCTTTCTTGAACGGATCGAATTTATCCTCCTTCTTTATCGCAGGTTTCGTAGTCTTGAAAAAGGTGTCCAACCGCATCTGCGTCTTCGCCTGTTTGCACTTCTTCAGCCTACTAATGTACCTAAGTATAAGAACCGCCACGACGACGAGCATAAAAAAACGACATGACCGGGGTTCGAACCGGCGTCCTCTTCCTACTTCTCCACTCGATCTTCAGAGAACTGATTATCATCCACTAGGAACTTCTTCAGTCCTTCATAATCCGGCACCGGCCAATTCAAGTTCATATTCTCCCTCTCCACTGCAGGGGCATCGAGAAAATACTCTCTAACCTGTCAGGGCGCGCGCTAAATTCATCCATAATTTTTCAAATTCGACCGTCTTATAATCTCCTGCAGCCCAACTCTCTGGCACAGCGAACTTGGTCTTATCAATATGGTCAAGAACGCCCTCAATGCTCTTGTGCTCTACAATCAACTTGAACGCGTTGTTAGGACCTACGAAAAAGTCGCGCGCCACGAAATTCCTCAAACCAAATCCAGTAAGTGCGCGCTCAACTACTTCACGATGCCGACATTCTCAAATACCCCAATGTTTTCGGACATAGAAAATAGTGTCAGGTTTTCGTGTCACCAAAAAAACCTTCCCCTCACCGATGCCTCTGATAGTGTCCAGATAATCGCACCCGCACATGATGCAGAAATCAATGAACTGATCCATGCTGACGTCCAATTGCTCAAGTACAGTCGAAAGCGACATCTCATAAACCTACAAACAAAAACTGCTTCGCTCCGCTAAGATGTATGAGGAGGTCTTCACCGGCTTAGTAGTTTTCCCAGCAGAACCTTGCTGGCCACTACCCAGCGTGTTGAACAGGTTCTTGACTTGAACGGGCGAGCCGAAAGTGAGAACCTATCAGCCGAGAGAGCATTCCATACCACTCCTCCGACAACTCCTAAGCTCCGCACTTACGTCCATGTCGTCAGTGACAGCTCCATAGCACTTACCATACCTCACCAAAGCCGCACACGTCGCCTCGGCCTCCTCAGGGGCCTCGATAATACAGCATCCCATCATCGCTGACAAGATGACCAGTGTGAAACGAGGAGCATCGCTCCGCTAGTTAATACTCAGCAACTTTTTCACGTCCGCATTCATCTGGGGTGTCACTCGAGTAGACCGATGGGCAGCTTTTCTGATGCCCTCGTCATCACCTGTAAGAGTATCTTCAGGTTGCCGATTCAAGATACAAACTAGGTCCAATGAATAACACATGCATGATTGCGAACTCTTGCGAAGTGATGCGGAAATTCCTCCTAAACTGTCACTTCGGCTCCTCAAAAAAATTCACAACATGCGTCCCCCTCGAGAGAACGCGAAACCCAGCATATGGCCATTCCGAATCAACGCTGACCAAATCAAGAACAACAACAGTACCAAAATAACCTATAGCCATCCAGAGCATTCCAGGAGGCAGTGCCAGGCACTCACCCGAGGCACCAGTATGGGATCACACGCCCATGGTCCGCTGCATGTCTTGGTGACAATATGAAAATTGTGAGGAACTATTTACTGATTTCTACCCGAATTCGTACGTGAGCTTCTATAATTAGTGAAACAACCCAACTGAGCAAAGCGAACATATATTCCAACCCTGAGAGTCACCTTTTTCGATAGCCTCCTTAAGATCCTCCTCAGCCTTCTTTTTAACCTCCCTTCTCTTAGCGAGTTCACCCGTCTTCAGACTAGGTGGTTTCCCATCAAACACATACACTGGTTTTATGCCTACCAACAACATCGCAAGACTAAACTCAATCGACCCCATAGATTCCACAAGTATGTACTAGCACATACATACGATGCGAGCACTGCGGTCTCAGCAATAGGCAAATTCAGCAAACTGAACTGATCCCTCGTGAGCTGATGTATACCGATGCTAGTTTAACTGAACCATTTTCTGGGCCTTGAACATGAAACCCTCGTACGCAATAAGGGTTGGATATATATCATCGGAGTTCCACCCTAGTGATATGAAAAACACTAGTAGTGAGGAATATATCTCACGACGACTGCATATTACCGCGAATATCGCGTTATTCACCGAGTTTTACGCCACTTCGCGTAAAACTCCATTATACATTTGCACATATTCCTTTGTACAGTCAGCTCAACTCCTCACATGTCCATTGCTTTTTTTCAAATTTTCCGTTTTACAATATTATTTTCGTCCAGCCGGCCTCTGGAGATCTCTACTGTATAGTTTGGTCGCGTAATATGTTAAACCAGAATAAGACAAATTTGAGAGACCATTCGCTGATCCAAAGGCAACCGCGAGTTCTGATGATCTCCTCGACTTACTAGAAGTTCTAGATAGGAGCAGTCATGTTGTGGTATGTGATAAAGCATTGAATATTGGGTATAGCCATACCATCTCTTGCGCAACTTCCCAAACCCACCAGCTTCCATCATCCTCAGCGTCCTGGTCACCATCCCCGAGATATGAGAGGTCACCTCTCCCGCCGCATTGGTAAGGTTAGCATGCTGATTGTCCCCTCCTAGACGCACTGCAATGACGAACTAAACACATAAGTCTTCACTACGACTCTCCCTCTCCCCAACCGTTTACTCGCACTTCAATACGACTGCTACTACTACTACTACTACTACTACTACTACTACTACTACTACTACCACTACTACTACTACTACTACCACTACTACTACTACTACTACTACTACTACTACTACTACTACTACTACTACTACTACTACTACTACTACTACTACTACTACTACTACTACTACTACTACTACTACTACTACTACTACTACTACTACTACTACTACTACTATTGCGTACAGTTGAATATATCAACTTCAAAGAGAACAACTCTATGAGTCTATTATTAGTCCCTCTAGCGCTAAGACATCCCAAAACACCTCCATGAGTGATGACGATCATCATCTCAAAAGTCTGCTGATATCAAATGCCACATAGATCGTATAAACTAATAAATGGACTGCTGTATGACAGCTATTCATATACGATGTTTATGCAACTCCCCCGACTGCAATTAATTCCCTTCCCACCTGATACAGACACATACTGGCATCCACAGCTAAGCTTCTTCCAGTGTAGTTCTCCATCTTCTGCTCACTCACCGCCTTCGGGGCGTTCTCCGATACGAACTTGAACAGTTGTTTGATTCCCATTAGGTGCACTAACAGACTGGGAGTATCATTTTGCACGCATGCACAAAAGATATGTGGATTGAGGCAACCCAAGGTAGGTTAGTCCTTGTCAAGAGAAACATCATAACATAAATTCCAATGGACAATCAAATACCATCAACATGTCGATGATTACCACACGTGGCCATGTCCTGACCTATTTTGTATCTTCACTGCTCAACCTCAAGATTCTTCGATAATTTCATCGGCCCAACTCCTCCACCAGCACTCCCAGACGGGGAACTTCCATTCACACTTCCCACCCAACGCACAAGCACGTCGTTTTCCCAAATACCTTTCCGAGTCTGACCAAACTCAGTGGTATATCTGAATTGCAAAAAGCGCGCGCCCTGGTAATCGATAGAGTTTACTACTCTCCTTCACCATGCCTCTTGCCAGCAAGCCACCATCCAACATACTTTCGACCATCGGGCCACTCGAACGTCCCTGAATGAGCGGGCACGACTCTACTACTGTGCTTTCATGTCTCGTCGAATTTGGCGAATATTCATATGATTTTCCAACATGATGCATGTATCGACATAACAAATACACACTAAAAGTTTGATTAGTTATATCGAGCCCTCGATCGATTCATCGTGATGCAGTTGTCTTATCCGACCTAATTCGTATCCTGCGTGGTTGAACCTAAGATACCCTCACCATATCCTTCCTTCCTATCATCCACATACTGTCCTTGATAGACCATTGGGCCTCCCCGGTCTCCCGCAACATGCCATTCCATTCGCCCTTCACCATGGAATTTACCCCCTTGGAAGGTCCCGACGTATCTTAGGTTCGACGTAGTAAGATACAAAAGAGGTCCGGAGGAGCTCTCAACTTACATTCGGCCATCCGCCCAAGTCTGAACTCCCTCGCCATGTGGTTCGTTCTTCATCCATCGACCTAATAATCTTTCGAACAAAACACAATTAGACAAAAAATGGGAATCTTTCGACCTTGATAGTAGCCTCCTGGATACTCCCATCGGCCTTCCCCTTCTCGCTGACCATCGACGACATCTCCAATGTACTTCGACCCGTCCGAGTACCTGATCCGGCTGCTATGCGGAAGGTCCCCGGTTCGAATCCCCGCAGAGTTACCGGATTTCGCTTCGCTCCGCCTTTTTTGTTCCAGTCGACGTCGATGGCGATTGAATTCTCATGGGCAGCGAATTACGACTCGACGAGCCAGAAGACAGAGTAAGCTGCAAGATCAGAAATCGATCGTCTGGGCGAGCGCGTTCTTGCAAGGCAACTTACCCGAGGCACGTGAGCACCGAGAGAGGCCGCACTGCTCGAATTTCGTGGCGCGTGACGATACGTTCCACCCGAGGCCACTCTCGGATAGATGACCCCTCCCGATTTTTGACGATTCATCTCGAGTGCACCGTCGGCTGAAAGGATAGCACGGGGATATCTTTAGGTCGAGCGCGCAAGATACGGATCAGGTCAGACCAGCAGCTCAAACATCCCCCGCTCACAGTGCAACTCACAGCAGGGCAAGTTACCAACAGTATTCCCCATTGGACAAAAAGGCGAAGCGAAACTATAAAACATCACCCGATTACATAACTCTAACGCAAATAGCGCTCGCCCTGATGATCGATTACGATTTGACAATATTATCATGCTCAGTAGTTGAGTAGTCCACTTATCGGATTCAGATGGGTGGGAGAGGTATCTTACGAGAACCAACCCATACAAATAAGATGTTTAGATCCGAGCAGAACACCCGAGTTCGATCCCTGGTCCCTCCTTCTCATTCGGACTCTATCAGATGCCAGTGACGAAGGGGCTGAACGAGATGACTCATCCAACCAGTGATGCGAGGCATACAAACATATCCAAGGTCCAGCAATACAAGATACAAAACAGATCCCAAACGAACCTTTCTGCTCTCGCTCGTCAATCTTAAGCGTTTCCAATTCCCCACCATATACCGCCCGAAAAATAGAAGCGTTCTCTCGCCTCCTACCGTAAACATCCCCGCCGACTGATACAATCACCGACCTGTATGAAAAACCTACCACGACCTTGCGCTACGAGCTACTCACAAAGATATGCACAGCCACAACAACCACAATCCTAGAGCAAAGCGAATAAGATAAGACAAGATATCCAGCCACATCCAGTCCAACCAGAATACCTGATCGGACCTATTCCGTATCTACCAAACATCGACCTAAGATACCTTACCGGGAAATATGCTCCACTTATATAGACTGTTCCTACCAACATAATAAGACTAGATATGACCATAGCCTACAGGGGCGACCAATAACGATAATCAGCCACCGAATCGAGATTCCTATCATCCTGTCATGCATCGCAATACTCATCTTTCGGTATCAACCCTCTCCCATGACAACGACTTGTCAATAAGCACAAGTGATTTTAAGTGATAAGAACATCCCGAATGAACTATGAGAGCCGCCTGCTAGGAGTCCCTTCTCCCCGGCTGATCGATTCGCGACACGAGCTCTTCTCCCAATGTTACGCAAGGTTGCGGACGGAAGCCGGGAATTTACGAACTTTCGAAATTTAACGTATAAAGCCAGTCTTCGAAAAGATATTCTTCGCCGTGCGCACCGCTTGAATATGAGGATGAAACCTCACGCTACGCGACTTCCTCAACCGACGAGCTCTCGACCAAATTACTGCATTCATCACCATCGCCACTAGCGACTCGGCCAGAGCACCTAACCAATAGCCCAAGATCCCCGGTTCGAATCCACCCCCCGCCATTTTACTCCCACTATATGGAACACACCAGTCCTTCTCCAGAGCTACCAACCGAGTTCCCTCGACGCACCAGGCAGCCAAGCGCACTATCTACAGCAACTTGCATGAGCTAACGAGGAGTTATCGACTGACACCTGCATGATCACGATTGCTGCACTGAACACGCCGTTAGTAAGACTGAGAGCTCGGACGCCAATCTGGAGGGGATAGTTCTAAAAATGATAGACAGCTAGTTCATAATCGATCACTTGATCGATATGGATACTTTCAGGAAAGAGGCTGTCAATGTCGTCTGGGGAGTATCCGACTCGAGGAGAGCCAGTACCTACAGGGAGAGAATATACCTCCCAGGGATCGAACCAGGGGCCTTTCGGCGATGAAACTCACTGCAGGATTGGCAGTTCGTTCATCCCCCACTCCACCAAGATGAACGATTATTAACAGACGGTTTATCAGGATGATAAAATAAAAGGAAAACAGAAACATTATCACACTCAGCATCAGCTCATCTGAAAGAAACCAATCACTACACAATTCGCGGACATCCACCAAACCAATTCTCCGTGACCGAAGTATCCGACCACCATGAAATTCCGTGGCAGTACAGTACGTTCAAAGTCATTCTGTAGAAAAAGTCACCTCTGCATACGTATTTTCGGTCTCTAGATGCCGCGTACTGTACACGTTTTCCGCTCAGCTCAAAATCCACATTAGCACAGTTGGAACAGCCTCCGACATTTCAAATCCGTTCCAGAATGATATATGCGGAAATTTTGGGAAAATTTGGGGAAATTCTCATTTCTTTCTGTGCACTTCTACCTGAATTGTAAACTTCTATAATTTTAAAGAAACTCTTGGGACTCAGCTGAGGAAAGCAAACAT